TCCATCCATCCATCCATCCATCCATCCATCCATCCATCCATCCATCCATCCATCCATCCATCCATCCATCCATCCACTCATTTCTGCTGCAGTGTTTATATTTAGGAAATACAAGAAACATTTGTTTTGTTATAGTTACGAATTATACTGTTAATTTCTCTTCTATTTGGGAGGCCATCATAACACATTTGTATGCGACGTGGCGACCCCCCTATTGTTTGTTCGTTCGTTCGTTTGTTTGTTTGTTTGTTCGTTCGTTTGTTTGTTTGCTTGCTTGCAACCCTCCACCTCCCCCCTTGGGCTGCTGCTCGACTCTTCGACAAATTCATCTCATCGCCACACATTGAAGTAATTACCCTGTTTAATTTTCTCTGTTCTCAGTTGAAAGTGGATTTGATAAATAATTGTGCTCAGGGGCATGTTTGCCCTTCCACGCATGCACAGGACTTTATGAGCCACCGCCGCTGCTGCTATAATTGTTTTCATATCAGTTGCACACTTTTCAATTTCACGCATTCAAATTTTTGATTTATTCTCCAATGAGGTTGTGTTTGTGCAGCTCACATATTTCATAATATTTATCAATAGAAAGAGTTAACTGAAGTTTATTAGCTTAACCTTCAATGTGAGAAAAATTATTTTCTTCAATTAATATTTGTTAATTTAAATTGAATGTTCATCACTCGGTTAATTGAGTTATCACAACGATTAAATCTAATATTTTTGAGAGCGTTTCTGCATGGTGCTTGCAGTATGTTGAAACGTTAGCATTTGATTGAAGCACACAAGTTGGTGTAGGTATTAATCAGTAGCAGAATGTTTGCGCTGGTTTTCAACGCTCATTAAATGCATGATGTCGATAATTGACGTTTAGAACTTATTCTGCTTCAGCGAGGGCGTGTGCCGTTAGATTAACTACGACGCTTCGGAGACAAACAATCTAAATTCGGATTAATACACCATGCCACGTGAACAATTTAAAAATATTCAGTGGCGGATTTAGAAAAGGGAGCCGGGGGAGAGCTGGCCTCCCCCGTTGTGAGCAGTTTTTTAATAAAAGTAAGAAAAAGGACTGTTTTATTCTCTAGAATTCCCATTCCAGAGAATTAGGTTTTACCAATTCCCATCGGAATCCCATGGGATTCTTGCAATTCCCGTTCCCATGCTTACCTCTACCCTAATTGGCGATTTTTCTTTTGTTGATTTACATCTTATAATAATTTTTTGTATTTCTAAATAATGAATGAACATAATAATAATCATTAAGTTAAAATTTAACTTGACTGATGACGAAGCGAACATTTAACAGTCATTTATTCTTGTATCATGTTTGATCTCATTACTACCACTGATGATAGCAAGATCCAGGATGTCGGCTGGCCTGATTTATGTAACAAATAATTTTCTAAACAATGTCTCTATCTATATACGCATGTATATGCTTATACATATACATGCGTACATACAAACACTTACATACATGCAATTAAGCAATTATAATTGCTGGCATTCGCTATCAGTTTGTTAACACATGCTTGCAATTATGCCAACTTCAGTTCATGGGGGGCTAAAAATTGTAAATCTTTGCATATATGCCTACGCTGAGTATTCTATGCACACATAATGCTACATATGTAAATATTATTGCATTTTCAGATGCATGTTGTAAGCATGAATGTATGTATACATGCATGCATGCATGTATATGTCCGTCCATGCGAGTAAATGCATGAATGTACACATGAATGCAAGTGAATGCTTATCCGAGTGTATGTGCTGATGTATGCGTGTAATGAGTTGTTGGCGCGTGGAAGGCTGTTTACATGTAAATTCGATCGCGTTAATACGTTCATGTTCAGCCTGCCCCTACCATGCTGCCTGCCCGCTCGCAACCGCACTACAATAGTCGTTCGCTGGTTCACAATCAACGCAGGCTCGCTCGTGGAAATGTACACCGACAAATGTATATGTATTTGTTTCGGTTCTTATGTGTATTTGTTTTGTACTCCTGATTCCTCAGATATGAGCAAATAGATTTTTATTTACGCTCATTTCACACTTGTTATGTTATGTTATGTAAAGGTGTAACTAGGAAAAGATTCAAAGGTGAAAAGAGGAGAAAAGAAAGAGATAATGAGAGAAAAGAGAGAGAGGGAGAGAAAGAAAGAAAAAAAAGAGAGGAAAACAAAAAAGGTAAGTAAATTAATTTTCGTGCCGTTAACTTAAGGTTTGTATGTTGAAGACGTTTTGTGTTATCATTCCAAAATTATCAATAATGGTAAATAAATTAGAGGCACGTGATAGAAGATAGAAGTTTCATCGGAGTCAGCCGTGAAAGGAGTAGAAATTTAAAAAAAAAACTCATCTTGTCAGTGATCATCGACGTTTGATTGTCGAATAACTAATATGGAACGGTGAATGTTGTCTAGTATTTTGTAATCAGTTTTAGATGTTATTTTCATCATTTGAACCATTTTGATTTTCTGAATCTTTTCAAGTTTGATTTCTCGTGACTAACCTACCTGGTAAATGGTAAATGCGGTGACATTTCTTAACAACTGTATATACGAAAGCCTGAACTCAAATATGTATATATATATATTTATTTATTTAAAAATATTTATATAGCGCAAATTAAATACTTCAAAGGCGCCATCAAAAAATGAAACAAACAAAATATCTGTGCGTGATCAACATAAATTAAAATATTCAAATTTAATGTTTATCAACAGAAAATAAATATGTTTTTAATTCTTTTTTAAATGTCATATATATATATATATTTTATATATACATATTATGTAATGTGCAGAGTTAACGTTTAGTTTCATAAGTTTGCCATTGGCTGGTTTTGCGGCATTCAAAGGTACTTGCCTGCGTGTCTGTCTCCGGTTGACCCATTGACCGCCTGCTTTATGAAAAGTTCAGCTTCAAGTTTCTCCAACCTTAAGAATACTAGTTTTAGTCTGAAAGAGTTTGAATAATAAACAATGTTTATTTGCAAATGTTTGATATGGTTTTTGTTGTGATGTTAACTTGCACAAATTTACGATATTTTAAACAGCCTGTTTATGTCTTTTGATGTTTTCTCTTTTATGCGCAGTTTTTATCATTTTTTTCATAACAAAAATACAACAGCCGATGTAACATATTTTTGGAGCACATCATTCAGATGCAAAATCTCGTGCAAGCAGATTCATCAGATGTGTGATGACTCATCAACATATTGTCGATGCAGTTTATTTACAGTCTGTTTGTTGATGCATTTCATTTGATGTTATTTCTTATTATTATTATTGATGTCGTTCCTCATTAATGTTGTGAAAAATGAACATCCAAACAATATGCTGCTCTACAAACTACAAAAAACGTTGACTGAAAACTATTAGAAACAATTTAAACATGGAACATTATTTGAATGCTCTCCACCGAATTTTTAGCTTTTGAAAGTTTACGATTGAGCTTTTCAATATTTCTAACAGTAACTTGTAATTATTATTATTATTAGTAGTAGTAGTTTTGGTATTTGGATAAAGATGGAGATAACACTGACGATACAAAAGCAATGAGGATGATGATGAAGATGATGATGAAGATGATGATGGGAGGATGAAAATGATGATAATGAGGATGATGATGTCATATGCATAGGGGTAAAATAATTCTGAGACGACTATGACGTGATGTCAACGTTAGGCATTGTGATTAAAATTAATTAAAAAGTGATGNGTGATGATGATGACGATGGG